GAGGAGGGGCTGCAATGCACATGCCCTCGCGCCCAAAACATCACTGAAACTCCTAATTATCCTACTTTCCACCCAAACCTCCATGCTCAATTAGATAATCCGTACAACACCCCCCCTCCAAAAAAAAACACAAAAAAAAACAAAAAAACAAGCTGACCGCTGTAAACCCCAAGCCCCTAAATACACTTTGCAAGCCCCATGTATTTCAACTGGCCCGCAAGCCAACATGAATCCTACACAACATCCAAATTCCTTTACTTGGACCACCCCGAAACACATCTCTGTTTACTCGAATAACTGTTACTGGTAAGCCTCCAAAACCACGAACACGCGTCTCTCATATAGAGGCCTGAATTACCAATACTAGCGTGGGAGGTTCCTTATTGTGATTACAGTATCATATACCCTAAAACCCCGTTTTAATTATTAAGTGACCCATGAATCCCCGAAACACATCTCTGACCCCTTTACTCTAATGGCTGATGCTGATAAGCCTACAAAATCACGAACACACATCTCTAATATAGAGGCCTAAATTACAGTACTATTGTGGAGATTCCTTATTATCATTACAGTATCATTTACCTTAAAACCCTGTTCTAATTATTTAAGGCCTCTATATTAAGCCCGTTTATCTCCAGAAATCCATGAACACCGACCTGAACCAGTGAGACAACAATACAACCCTGCAAGCGCCTTTCCGGAGCCGCATATAAAACCCTCAACTCTAAACCCTCTTCTAGCAACCCCTTATAGTACTCCTTCTCCTACCCCTTTATAAGACCTAAACCCTAAATACCCTAAATACCCTAAGTACCCTGAACCCTTGAACCCTAAACCTTACATACCCTCTTTTCAGCATGGGCTTGGATTGTGTGCCAGCGAACACACCTCAACAGCAGGGCCTTCTCGTTGAACGAGGGATAATACCCTAAACTCTAAACCCTAAAACCTTCTTTTCAGCATGGTAAACCCTAAACCCTAAAACCCTGAAACCCTAAAGCCCTAAAACCCTAAGCCCGAAACTCCGGGAAGAACGCCCCAGAAAGAAGCCGGGGCCCCCAGCGCTCGAAGTTCGGCCCAAGCTCGGAGAGCTTGCCACAAGCGCTCCTGGCCGATTCTTCCGCAGTTTAGGGTTGTTTAGGTTTTAGGGTTTAGGGTTTGGGGGTTAAGGGTTCAGGGTTTTGGGGTTTAGGGTTTGGGGGGTTTAGGGGTTTAGGGTTTGGGGTTTAGGGTTTGGGGTTCATGGGTCGTTATAAGTATGGTTATAAGTCCCCTAATGTGGGTTATAATTCTAGCTACCCTACTTAGAAACCCATTTTTATAACTACCCATGAACCTCCAAGTAGGGTTTGGGGCTCAGGGTCAGAACTTCTTGGTCTCAGCGCTAGACTTGGGATTGCAATGTTACTGCTGTTGTTGTAACTCGTATTGGTTATCAAGCTCGTTGCTACTAGAACTATTGTGGCTGTTAATTATCAGTGTCGTATCAACAAAGTCGAGTAGTTGATGCACTTAGTAGTATTTTATGTTAGTTCTTGGATGTTAATTGGAAATATTGTTCTTCTCGAGGCTGCTGTTGTCATCATTGTTGTTCGCGCTGTTGTTATTAGTGCTTGCCTTTGAAGAGCGTTAACTATTTCTACTTGACCGTGAGGGATAGTTTTCTGCGTTCAGTGTACTTCTAGGCGTGATGCGTACGTCTTGGACGCCTGGGCGCCCACAGAAAAAGCCCAAGCCCTACCAAGACAAGGGCTTGCTAGACTTTAGGATGGTAGACGACTTGCACTGCTTCCTTGATGCAGAAACCTTTGGTATCGTGTACAAGGGGTTACAGATCACCATATTCCATAAGAAAGAACGCGTAGCTCCAGGCCTCATTGACACAAAGCCCTTCGTAGCTCAGAAGGGCGGTCAACGACCTCGAGCGCCAACCGGATTAATGTAGGGGACTTCATGAAGTATGACTACTTTAGTAGAACCATGATAAGGAGTATATACATATCAGAGCCTTGCTGTCATTTGGCCTTGCAGCTGTGTTCTTATGCTTTGGCTACCGAAGAGCCCAACACCAGTTACGGAACAAATGTGTGCGTTATTGGGCCCGTATCTAGTTCAAGGCGTTCGTTTCGCAATTGATTTTTGGGGTGGGTCCGCAGATTTGTCAGGTTGTAAGACTTTCGCTTGCTGGTTTAGTTTGTGATCCTTGCCTCTAGCCAGCCCGGCCGACAATCATGCCGATGAATGTTCCATGCCTGGTGCACGGTTCCATGGTTGAAAAGAAAGACGATAGATATGCAGCAAGCCTATTGAACTTTAAATACGTACCAAGATCATGCCTTTACAGCCTTCTGAACGGACATGTTCCTAACAGTTATAACTACTAGTAGTCATAATCGAAATGATTTTTTACACCTTATAAATGTGGGATTGTGAGCAAATACCGGAAATCCAATGGAGCCCCTCTCTCTCAATCGGGCTCGAGTCGATCAAGGAGCCCCCGTGGAAAATAATGCTGGATCCATGGATCCACAAAATTAGAACAGGGATTTGTCTTTTTCAAGAATGAGCTACCAAATCCTATTGAGATCTGAAAACCGATACTGTAAAATAACTTCATAACGCCGTCGAAACCACTACAAGATTATGAAAGCTAGCCGTATCGGCCAAAGATTCTTTAAGGGAGCCCTTGAACGAACCCTTTTGGGAGACATTCCGGGGCCCCTGCACTGTGTGCAAGTGCAAAAAGTCGCGTGCTTGGAGCACCTTCTCGCCGAAAAGCCAAGTGGGTAGTTCTCTGAATTAGGGTCCCTTTTAGGGTCCTTTTACAAGGGTGCCATACTGTATTGGGGACCGAAAAAAGGGGCCTACATGTAGAGAACTACCCAAGTTGTGGGCTTGGGTTTAGGCCTAGGCTTCGGGTGCAGGGCTTGCAGGGTTTAGGGTCTAGGGTTCAGGCATGGCTTGAGTACTGCCCAGGAAAGGACAGGAACCAACAAACACAGGGGAGCACGACGAGTGGCCTGACAGTAATAAACCGTTCAAAGAGTCCTGCCGGCTTCCATGAATTGAGAATTCCCAGTGTGTAGGTCTTCAGAGCCTATGGAAACGGCACCAGGGACTTGTTGCTTGAAGCGCTGATGCAGGGGCCTTAATACTTACTACTAGGGTTTTTGAGTCTATTCTAATCATAACAAGGAGCCCCCCCCCAAAAAAAATAGCATATTATGCGTTGTTTAATGAAGGCCCCCTATCTTACGTTCATGTCTCGAGTTCAAGGGGCCTGAACCCGTGGAGCTCTGTTCTAAGGAAGCACCAAGGCGCAGCGCCGAACGAGGGCAATGCACAATGTTCAAGTCAACCCTAAACGGGGTTTAGGGGTTCAGGGTTTAGCGGTTTAGGGTTTAGGTGTTTCAGCACTCACAACTAGACAAGCAGGCGAGGATCCGAGTACCAGAGCGATCAGCACATTGGCTAGTTGTTTAGGGGTTCAGAGTTTAGGGTGTAGGGGTTTAGGGCCAAAGAAAGCAGTATCCTCATACCCGGACCGATACCCCTTCTGTTTGGGGATCTTCTGATTCAGACCTGACATTACGAAAAGTACACTCTCACGTATAAACACAGCGGACCTGATCTTAAAGCAGCGTCTTGAAGCCCTGATATGGCTCGTTTATATAAGGCAGTGTACACCTGGCGCCTTAGCTTTGACAAGAGATCATTCACCCCGAATCCAAGCCACGCCCAGCGCTCCGTTAATGATCCAACTCCCCAAACCCAAGCCTGACAGACCACAACAGCAGGGACAGACGGGATCCTAAAGCCTTTTCTCAAAAGGGACTCGTCTGCTGCCCTTACTGCCCAGCTTGACCCACAAGACACTACTCATGACTGTGATGCGAGACCGGCCACTCCGCACCCTAAACCCTAAACCCTAAGCTCCAGGCACAACTTGGTACCATGCGACCCCACAAAACCCAACATCCTCAGAACTGCATCCTGATCCCCAGATTTCAACAAAAAAAAGGCATGACCTGGAGCTCCCCGAAGAACCCAATACCCCTAAATCAAGAAATAGAGCTTGACACATCATTTCAAACGCCTTATAACTTAAGGTCTAGTCCTTAACCATGGGGTATTGGGGCTCTCGGGGTGATGTAGGGGCCTTAATGATTAGAATAGGGTTTTTGGGGGGTTCCTTATTATAATCATAATAGTATAATCCACCCCAAAACCCTATTCTAATCAGTAAGGCCCCTTTGTTAACCCCATAAGGGCAGCCACGAACTCCGGCCCAGGCCTGCCGCGTATGGACGCGAGAGAGGTCCCCGAGGAGCTCCAGGAAGTGCTTCGAGTATCTGCGGGAAGCGAGCGGCTTAGGGTTTAGGGTTTAGGGTTTTTTCCCTCTCGCATGGCAAAGAACAAAGCTCACAAGCGAGGTTGAATATAGGCAATAGTCTCTCTCAGAAGATTTGTGCAATCCCGAAAGGGTTTAGGGTAATAAAACAAGACTAGTAATAGTAGAAAATAATAATAATAATAATTATTATTATTATGATAATAATAATAATAATAGGAATAGTAATAGCCACACATATATCAGAACAATAATAGTAAGAATAGCAATAGTAATAGCAATAGAAACAGAAATAGTAGTAGTACTAGGATTAACTTGTACTAGTACTAGTACTAGTAATAGTAATAGTATTAGTAATAGTAATAGTAATAGTAATATATATATATATACATACATACATACATACATACATACATACATACATACATACATACATACATACATACATACACATGTATGATAACCGCAATTAGAGGACTTATAACACTTATAACCATACTTATAACTACGCATGAACCTCCAAGTAGACCCTAAACCCTCTAAACCCTAAGCCCTAAACCCCTAAACCCTAAACCCTAAGCCCTAAACCCCCCTAGACCCCAAACCCCAGCCCTCAAAGGAAAGGTTGGTCGACCTCTCGAGGCCAAGGCGGCAGGCGACGTCGAAGAATCTCAGGACCTCTGGGCGTCGAGGCTTACGGGCCCACGGCTTTAGGTTTTACGTAATTTGGGCTTCGGTCTAATTAGGGCTTATATAGGGTTTGGGGTAATTTGTGCTTAGGTCTAATTAGGGCTTGTATAGGGTTTGGGGTTTGGGGTAGAATTTTTGTCCCACCCGGCCCAGCTGACAAAGTCGCACCGCAGGGAGTTCGGTTAGGACTAGAGAAATGACGGGAAGAACCATGGCAGACCACATACTCCATTTGAGGGCAAGACAAACACAACTAACAACCAGTAGCTTTGTGGAGTTTGCGTCCCCGTCGGTACTCCATTGCCTAGCGGCGGTCTGCTTTCTAATTTAGGGCTTAGGGGTAACTTGAGGGTCTTTTTAAGGCCTGTTTGCCTCCTGCATTGCTCACAAAACAAAGTTTAAGACTGGGGGGTTATTTGGGTCTAAACCCTAAACCCTAAACCCAAAGCCCCAAACCTAAACCCTAAACCCTAATGTAGTTTTTGAAGAGACTCAGGATTGGGACTAAAGGCTTCTTCCCTCTAAAGGCCTGAGTTGCAGGGGTTAGGGTAAGTTTTCAGTTTTCTTGGAGGTTCATGGGTAGTTCGAAGTGGGGTTATAAGTCCCGTAGTATGGGTTATAACTATAATCTCCTTACTTATAAACCCCTAAAAAAAACTTATAACTACCCATGAACCTCCAAGTAGGGTGAGTTTTTCAGCTTTGGCCCTGCGCACTACATGGCGGCGACTACGACTGCTGGTGTTACCGCCACAAGCAGTCACTAGCACTGGTATGGTCACTGCTGCCACTAGTGCTCGGGCTGCTGCTGCTGCCAGCGCTGTCGTGACTGCTACTAAAACTTCTGACGCCATAGATTAGATTATAGATCTTGTAGGCGGTGGCAGATCACCACTGCATTTCAACTGCAGCAAGCGCCTACTACCCCTACTGCTGCTGCTGCTTCACCTGTTACGACGACGACGACTACCACTACAGTACCACTAGCACCTACTGCTACCGTTACTGCTGCCTCTAGCCTATTTTGCCAATGTCGGTTTTATTGCAGTTATCTCTGTACTACCACAATACGCTCACGATGCCTTGGTAACACTGCACTGGCCACATTCATCACATTCGGCTGTCTTCTCACACAGCACTGCGCGCATGCACTACATACTTGGTAGTTAGTTGGAGTGCTGCGGAATACAAGCGACTCTCTGTTTCATGTCAGGACCGCACTCACAACCACAGGAGCAGAACGGTAAGGGACATCTGTGGCCAGTGGCGGCAGGACTCTTGTGCGGGCCTTAACAATTTTAACAGAGTTTTGGGGTATACTATACTATAATTACAGTACGGAAACACCAGAATAGTATAGGTAATCATCAAGGAACCTATATTCCGGGGCTTACGGAACCCCAGAATAGTATAGGTAATTATTAAGGAACCTCTATTACAATTCTGGCGGCCTGCGTGACATTGCCGGCATCCGTGTTCTCTTCGATGAAGGAGCCGCATCCTTCCAGCCTTTGGTGCCGCACGCGACGGGCTACGGTTTAGGGATGTTTAGGGTTTAGGGTTAGGGTTTAGACTCCCACGACTCGATCTATGACGGCTCTAGCTCTTAACCGCAGAAAGCCCTAAACCTTCTAGTTAAGGCTGGGGTTTACCTCTTTGCACCGCCGACCATAACTCCCAAGGCTATAAGAAAAGGTCAAACCTCGAAGAGAGCGTTCTGCAAGGCAAGCAGCAGACCATCGATCTGGTACTTGTCTGCCGCCCGATACACCTGAAGAGCCTGGCTTGGGAAAAGCTGCCGATCCGTTTCTGCAAGGAATTTTTGTCGGTTGTTTCGAGGGCTTGGGGTCGGGAAGACAAGCCAACAACTCCTGAACGACTTCACGTGTTCTCCTCACTTCAACCGTTTATGCACCTCTGCTCTGTTGGTGGATCTGTCAGGTTGTATAGGTTTGGGTATCTACGGCTTCAAGAGTTTAAGCTGCAGCCTGAAACTTAGAGGCCGTAGACTGCTGCCAAAAAATGGCATGCCCTACACCCAAGTCAGTTGCCCATACCTTGCACGACCTCGAGCTACTGGTTTCGTAGGCCCCAAAATGCCTAGAGTCTATACTTTCACTTCTACTACGAGGAGCCCACAATAAAAACTACAAACAACCACAGCAGGCCCTGTGGCTACTGTGGTTTCAGGGTTCAAGACAAGGGAAGGCCCCTTGAATTGAAGTTGAATCTGCCTCGTCTTGCTCTCGAAGAGACCTACAGGAAGCATATATGGGGGTTTCCGAAAATAGGGGACCCTAATATAGTACCCCAAATAGTAGGACCCTTATTATAAGGACCCCAAAATAAGGTACCCCCTATTTTCGGAAACTCCCATATATAGAGGCCTGGCCACCGGGCCAGAAGCTCTCGGCCTAAGACCACTGCTAGCTTTTGGGAACCGCTTGAACCCGCAACCCTGTTAGCACGGCCTTAGACCACCGTTGGGTTTTAGGAACCCCATGAACCCTCAACCCTGTTAGTACACCCGGGGTTAAAACCCTAAATCCTGAGCTACACAACTCCGATCGCAACCACGGCGGGGCCACGTTGTCGAGCGAGATCATGGGGTCAAGATGATGGACGTATCGAAGCATGCACTTGAACCTTGGTACCGGCGCGACGTAAAACATACCCTAAGGGTCCATGTACCCAAATAGTAAATACTTTGGCCCCAAAGTACCCAAATAGGGAGTACTTTAATGCCAAAGTATCTACTATTTGGGCACATGGACCCTTAGGGCCTTAGGGATATTGTTGAGGGTTAAGGCTGCAGCGGGAACCTTCACAGCCTCGATCCCCGAATCTCTAAAGCTCAGCAGCTTCTTCTAGAAGCGACAAGACCACCCAAACTGTAGAGCGGCCTGGTATTCTGTGGCCTCTAGGAGTCCTTTCTTGATCAACTTCTCTGAGAGGGCGGGCGCGCTGGGCTCAATGTCCGTCACGGACACGTAGTGGTGATGCCCACTGCGGAACCTCGGCATTGAGGACTTGGTAGATAGACGGATAGCGAGGCAGGTAGGTGGGAAGGTAGCTGGATATAGATGGATTGTAGGGGCATCGCACACATGCAGCAAGCTAGACAGCTAGACTTGTGTTCGCCTGTAATGCTGGGATAAACTGACCTCGGCTCGTTGTAGCTGGAGGACCCCGGACACCCGCACCGACAACAAATCGGTGCAGATGTCGGTTTGTTGTAGATTGTAGGGTTCAGGGGTTAACTGTGAGTTTAGGGTTAGCGGGTTTAGGGAATAGGACAAGGTGATAAGTCCCAGGTCTTGGTGGTGCCGGGGTGGTAAGTTTGTTTTTTTTTTGACTCTCACGCTCGCACAAGGCAGGCAAGGCTCCACAGGATAGGTGCATGGCACGAGCGACGATTGGTTGGGTGCTGACTGGGAAGCACTTCCCCAAAACGTCTAAGTACTTATATGGTAGGTACTTGGGGGCCCAAAATAAACCCTAAACCCTAAACCCTAAACCCTACTATATGGGTACTTAGATGGGTTCCGGCGGGCTCATGGTTTTTCCATCGGTTCCGCTGTGAGTTTTGGGCTTCGACTTTGAGGCTTCCTTGATCTAGGCTGGTTCTTGTCTTTGGCACCCATCCAAAACCCTTTTAGGGTTTAGGGTTTAGGGTTCAGGGTTTAGGGTTTAGGGTTCTGGGTTCTGAACGCTAGCAAACCATGCCATAAACCGTCTAAGCCTTAAACGCTATGCCCTAGGCCTAGTTATGCAACAAAAGATCCCCGAATTCTTAACCCAAAACCCTAATACCCAAAACCACAATTCTAACTCTTCAGGCCCCAAATATACCCTTCGCGAATCGTCTGAGTTTCTGGGACTTCTTTTGAGAAATTCAAGTCCGATTATGATGATTCTGATTACTCCACCGCCACCACCACCATGACGACGACGACGACGGCGACGACGACGACGACTGCTGCTGCTGCGGTTCTTATTGTGAGAACTTCGCTAGATGGTCGTTGTGAAAGTGAAGTTTCATGGGCCGAGGGCGCTGCCCACCTGGCGTCTGCCCGACATCCAAGCCTCAATCTGCATGGTATAAGATACGGGGTTTCATGAGCAGAATAGGGATGCCTTTAGGGGTTCTTCATGGTTCTTTAAAAGGGTTTCCATAGGGATTCTACAAATGAGGAGCCCTAATGCTTGGAATGGGGTTTGGGGCTCAACTATGCTATAACTGTGCGGGACCGGGCAGCATGACTAGTAAGGTTTTGCGACACCGATAGTACAAGGGGCAAAGGGGTTCGGGAACAGGATTAAAGGGTTAGTTAGTACTCTAGGGTGTAGGTGAGACGATGCAGCATCCTTCTATATTTTCGGATCTACTCGTCAAAGCAGGGAGTACTGGACTCTCCGGGAAATTTCTCAATGCAAACAGTCCGAGACCTGCACTCGTTTGTGAGTCCATCTAGTTGGGTTCCAGAAGCCTTTGGCCCCTTCCTTGCTGGGGTCCTGAGGTTTTCTGTGGTTTATACATGTGGTTTATAGCTTCCAAGGGTGTCATAAGGTCTTGCATTGAGGGAATTTCTCGGGTTTGCGAAGCACAACAAACCACGAAGAACCACAACTCTATCAGCTGATGTTCGGGTAACTCTACAGGGAGACCGATAGAATTCGGCAGTAGAGTGAACGAGATCAGGAAGCTCGTTCAGTGAAGTGAAGACAAGTGGAATGGAAGCGCATGGTGAGGAGTGAGGCTTTCCGGAACAAAGCTTAACTACCCCGGCCCCGTCATCGAAAACGCCACTTGTTCTGCAAGACTCCTTTTTGCACAGCTCTCTCCCCATGTGTGGCCAACGCATTGCTGGTGAGCCAGCACGTGTCGCCCCCTGGAGGTTGCAGGATTCCGTCAGCGCGGTCGCTGGCGAAACCGCGTAACTTCTTCACTTGAATTTGTAGGTTTCAAAGTGTACAGGCTGTTTCGCTGAGCTCCATCCGTACAACACGAAGACCACACGGTGTAGAATCTCCTTTGTTGAACAATGTTCGGTCTGAGCAACAGGCAAATGGCCACAACTTGCTCTGAGTGAGCCCTACGCTGACATGTGAGTCAGGGTGAATAGATTCATGTTCTGAATGGATGCCTTCCACACTACCTGCACGGATTAGAGAACAAGTAACAAGTATAGGTTTCAGATAAACTGCCCTAATCTCCACAATCCCAAAAGTCACAGCTCCCCTCAATCCCTTTCCCGGCCACCAAAAACCAGACTTCTGCGAAGATAACAGCAGCTTCCTAGACCCCAAATAGCCTTGCTCAGCGGATTCAGCACTGAAACGCCCATGAAAGCTGGGAAGTGGCCAGTAGTCCGGCCCGGCAGAACACGTTTGCGAATAACAAGCTTTGGGTTACGGGATTAGGCTTTAGGGGTTAAGGAGCGGTTTGTTAAGTATGTGGGCATTCAGAAAAGTATTCAAACGAATCTATTTCAAACAATGCCCAAGCAGTCGGAGCTTTACTCTACTATTTCCAAGATAAGGGACACCGCAGTTTTAAGAAACCAGAACGCCTGGCGCGCGAAAGGCCAAGAGTCCCAGATGGCTTACCCTCCAGGACATCTGCTTTGCACAAGCACAGAAAACATGGGTAGTTCTCTAAATTAGGGTCCCTTTGGGGGTCCTTTTTATAAGGGTGCCGTACTATAATGGGGACCCCAAAAGGGACCCTAATTTAGAAAACTAGCCACATGTTTGGAAGCTCTGGGGGCTTTGCAAGCAGGTCAGGGCTTAGATCTCATGTTGGTTAGGGTTCAGGGTTTAGGGTTTAGGGTTTAGGGTTTAGGGTGGCAAAGTTTAGTGGTTTGGGAGTAGGGCTAAGCAAGTTAGACATGGACGTGCAAGTTGTCCGACTTCCAATCCCCACTTACAACCTACTTACGACTACTTACCAAGTCCCCTGACCCTTTGCATAATGGTACGAGTCTGAACTACCTCGGAGACCCGCCGCCCAGAGACATCCATGCGAAATGTTAGTAAGGGCCCTTTCTGTCTGCATGCAAGCCGTGCCTGTGGAGCGCACCATTGGCTTAGGGCTGCAACATACAACTTGAAGCTTATATATATATATATATACATACACATTCAATCCGCAAATAACTGGTGGTCGCTCTCTCTTTCTCTCTCACCCTCCCTCCCTGTCGCTCCCCCTCTTTGTTTTGTTTTTCTCTATCTCTCTCTCTCTCTATATATATATATGTGTGTATATATATATATGCAGATGTACAGAGTATAAGACAAGCAGCAACAACTACATAACCAATCAACATACAAATAGACAACCCCGTGCCCCTAACCCTGAGCTAACTCGCGGCGGGTCCCCACAAAGTCGGAGGCTGCGCCCTCTCTGGAGCCAGCCTTTCCAACCCCAGCATTCCCCAGGCTGCTGCCTGGCGTGAGTATTATGCTTGGTTTCTTGGCTTTACATGTAAAGGCGTATCGGGTTTAGTCTTTCTGGCTGAGAGCCCCATACGGCTGAAGGCGAATGGTTTTCCTAAACTGAGGCGTACCTTGTTTAAAACTCCTCACCCCAAACAACACACGATTGGGGTCACTTCTAGTGTCCTTCTGCAAAGTGCCATACACCTTAAAACCCAGGATTCCTGTGTAACTTAGGGCCTTGAATGAGGATTGACCTGTGGAGATTATATGCCTGTGCCATGTCATTCATCGGCACCTTCTTCCTTCGTCCCTAGCAGCCCTGGTCACCCTCGTCTTCACCATGGTGGCGCCAGTCGACGGTGTTACTGGTGGGTGTGCTCGTTGGTGCAAGCGGCGGTGGTCGTGGTCGGCGTGGCAGTAGCAGTAGCAGTGGCACAGTTGCAGCAACAGTGGCAGTAGTAGCACTTGCAGTCGTCGTCATCATCGTCGCCGTCGTAGTCATTGTTCGTAGATAGTAATAGCTAGTAGTGAGTTACAAGCTAGTAGAAGTTAGATGTACGCGAGGGTAGTCCGTGGCAGTTCGGAGTGTTTCTTAGTGCTTGGGAGCAGGAGTATTAGTAGGAGGAGGAGGAGGAGGAGCCAGAGGAGGGGTAAAGCAACATCAGCACCTCTAGCAGTTTGTGCCACTTCTGGCTAAGGTGCCATGGATGCCGGGATCTTGTACGTGCGCCCGGCTCTCTTCGTTGTCTTTCACCCGAAGATTTCGCATCTCCCTCGGTGTCCAGCTTATGGTCCCTACTGTGGCAGTTGCTGAAGAGACACCTGCGCAGATACTTTTGCTACTGCCGTAGGCATTGTCAGTGAGCTCGTTTCTACTCATTTTAAACCCTAAACCCTACCCTTTTTTGCATCCGGGCTTGGGGAGTCGGCCGGGGAAAGACATATGCAGTGGGTTTACCCTAAACCCTAAACCTGATGCCCCGGTCTTTTGACCCTCGGCCCCAAGACCCCACACCCCAAAGCCTTAAACCCTGCACCTCAACAAGGCCCCTAGGCCCGACAGCCAAAACCCTATTCAACAAAAGCAAGCCTAAACTCTCTGGGGGCCCAATTCCCAATCCTCGGCAACTAAGGGTTTAGGGTTTAGGGTTTAGGGTTTAGGAGTTTAGGGCTTCAGGGGTTTAGGGTTTAGGGTTTTCATAGTACAGAAGGGTGACTCTATAAGAGTCAGTGGGCTTGGGCGTCTTTGGGCAACGCCAATTCCCAAAGCCCTGAAACAAACAGATCCTGTGACAAACGGAGTCTGGCCCCCAGCAAAAACGAGGGAAACCTGAAGGCCTAAAACCGTGAACCCTTAAAACCGCACAGTACGAAACCATACAACAACCTAAAGAAGAAAGCTGTACACCCCTGAAGCCAAAACAGCGCCAGACATCTGAATGCTGGACCCCTGAACCCTGAAGGACAAAAGCTTTCAACCCCAAACGGACCCTAAACCCTAAACCCAAAAGCCTAAGCCCTAAAAACCCTGAATCCCGAACCCTATACCCTAAACCTTAAACCCTAAACCCACA